AAAAAAAAAAAAAAAAGAACTGACTCGTTCATTTATAGTTTTATGTGGGCAAACTGCTGAGCCTCACTCTGCCTCAGTTTCCTTACCTGTAGGATGGGGGCAATACTCTACCTACTTCCATACAGGTTTTATGAATGTGAATACAAGAAAAGCATCTTGTCTGCCACATTGCTGCCCCATAGGTACGAGCCGCTTCCACACCATGATTTCCCAGCAGCAGTCGCAGATCTGGCTCTGTTGGAGTGTAAGCGTTATGACCAAATCCCGGTGGTGTCAATATCTGGCAATGGTATTGACATCTGGTTCTTAGCTTTGGTTTCTTTTCTTTTTTTTTGTTAAGTAGAGACGAGTCTTACTTTGTTGCCCTTGATAGAGTGCTATGATGTCACAGCTCACAGCAACCTCTAGCTCTTGGGCTTAGGCAATTCTCTTGCTTCAGCCTCCCAAGTACCTGGGACTACAGGCACCTGCCACAGCGCCCAGCTCTGTTTTTTGTTACAGTTTGGCCGGGGTTGGGTTTGAGTATATGGGGCTGGCGCCCTACTCACTGAGCCATAGGCGCCGCCCAGAACAAAAATTTCTTTATCCCAACAATTCTTTTCATGATGGTGAATTTTGTTTTAGCCAAATATTAATTTTTAACACTTGGTCAAAGTGTGCTTTCGGAACATTTCTCCCTGTTGCCCAGATGCAGAGCTTGTGTTCTCAGACCTCGTCACAGTGGCCCTGGGCCCCACCGCTGAGTATCCCATGGCTAATAAAGGATCTGTCCACTCTAGGTGACACAGTGGCTATATCCCTGAAGAAGTTCCTGAAGCAAGACACATATGACGTGCACCTTTCTCTGTCTGACCATGGCAACAAGGAGCAGGTGACAGTGATCAGAGCTACTGTATGCGACTGCCATGGCCACGTGGAAACCTGCCCTCCACGCTGGAAGGGGGGTTTTATCCTCCCTGTCCTGGGGGCTGTCCTGGCTCTGCTATGTGAGTACCAGTCACCCTCCCCTCCCTGAGGACACGGGAGTTATAGTATCTAATTCTACCCTGAACTTTTAGAACTAACAGGCCATAATATTCATCATCCATTCCTTAAACTCCTTTTCTTTTTTTTTGAGACAGAGTCTCACTATGTTGCCCTTGGTAGAGTGCCATGGCATCACAGCTCACAGCAACCTCCAATTCTTGGGCTCAAGTGATCCTCTTGCCTCAGTTTTTCTATTTTTAGTAGAGATGGGGTCTTGCTTTTGCTCAGGCTGGTCTCAAACTTATGAACTCAAGCTATCCTACTGCCTTGGCCTTCTAGAGTGCTAGGATTACAGATGTGAGCTACCTCACCGGCAAGCTTTTCTATTTTAGTAGAGATGAGATCTCGCTTTTGCTCAGGCTGGTCTTGAACTCATGAGC